CCCCGCGCGCTACGGAGCCCCCGGGCCCCGCGCTGGCTCTGTGCCCCTACGCCGAGGAGCCTCGTGCCCCTCTTGGATCCGGGGCTGCTCGCTCAGGGGCCCAGGCGCCCCGGAATGTGAAGCCGGAGCAAGGAGCGGGTCTCTCCTCGGCCGGGGGCACTGTCCCGACAGCGTCCCCGCTGCCCTGCTTGCCTCTTCCTGCGCTCGGCCCTCTTACCCCGCCATTCACAGTGCTATCGGTCACACTTAAAGATTAAGTTCCAAAGGGCAGAGATCAGCCCTACAAACACCTGACCTCAGCGGTGACTAATTTTATGTTAAAAGGATCCGGTTTTATTCTGAGCTGTTGGATCAGGCTTGTGTGCTCTCAGGGTGCAGTACTGCGGTGGTGGCGTTGGGGTGTGTTTGTCACTATGCCGGTGGGACTGCAACCAAACTGGCTCCTTTGCTCCCTCTCCCACCTCTCAGATGGGGGATATTCCTGGATAATCCCCTCCTGTCCTCTCGTGTTGATGAAATGGCTTTCCCACACCAAGAGCCCAGGGGATCTGGCACAGAGATGAGATGGCCACAGCTGTGCTCCCCAAGCCCTTCTGGCTACCTCGTCGCTGCGTGTGCCCCCATGACCACCACAGGCACTGTGAGCCCCCTTGGGTGAAGCACCTCCAAGATTTTCCCCAGGACCCCCCTGCTAACACCGCCAAGATCAAGAACAAAAGAGCAGCGCCCGCTCGGGGCCTCTCCACCCCCACCAAGGCTGTGCCCTAGACACTCAGGGCTGCACGGAAACATTTACATCTTTTACAGCACTCTGCTCTACTTCTCACGTTTCCCCCCAAGCAAACAGCATGGCCATTGCAGAGTGTGCCTGGGGGCAGGGCTCGGGATAGCGCTGGGGGATCACTGCTTTTGCAGGGTTGTATGGCCGTGTTTACACTGCAGGGCCATATCTCAGATCCCCGACTAGCTACAGACCTGAGAGAAGCCCCCTCCGCACTGCTAACTCTTCACTAAGCAGCTGCAGTAGGCCCCGTAAGGCAGAGACGGGACGGGTTTACTAAATCCAGGGCTCCTTGAGGCAGCACAGGTTAATTCCTTCTGGTGTTTAACTCCATCCCCATCTGCTCCCGTTTGCTAGGTGTGAAACACCCCATCCCCCATCCTTCTCCCTTCTCGCTCTGCATGTGGTCCAGCTCCTCGGACTCGCTTTACTCAGATGCCCTCTGGTCCTGCCTGGCACCCAGCCTTGGCTCCACGCTGCCAGCCCTGCAACCCTGGCAGCCCCTTGGCTGCGTTTGCAGCCCCTTTCTAGCCCTCCCGGTGTGTGGCTGGGATGGAGGGAGCCGTTTGACAAACCTTTATCTCAGCGGTGGCAGAGGAGTAAGTAGCCCCAGGTCCTTCCAGCACAAGCAGGAGTAGAGACCACTTAGGCTCCCATAACCACTAAATGAAACAAAAAGTCAGTCTCAGCTCTTCATCTTTCCTTCCCTCAGTGTCCCCACCCCAGGTGTTTCTTACTGCTTGCAGTTATCTGCCACCATTCATAATGAAGTACTTCTGTAAGGATGTCTTCTTCCCCGTCTTTCCAAAAATGTCTGCTGCCTCCTGCCTATTTCCAGCCTTTTCATATGTGCTCATCCTCACTGAGGCTTGCAGCTTCTTCTTCTGTAGGTGACTTTAGTGTCACCTACAAGCTTTAGCCCATGCTCTATTAAATAAAATCTGATAAATAAGTAAGGGCTATTTGGATGGGTATAATGCAGAGTTTCAGCTCTGTTCGATCCAAGTTTTGAACTAAGCCAACTAGTTTTCATCTGGATTGCCTACTTGAACTGGCTCATACACAGACACGCACACTCCAGTGCCAACACAAGCAGAGGGGGAATGGAGAGCCAAGGGGGAGCGAATGGCAGAGACAAGGCTCCA